AGCCCCTTGGAGGATGGAATCACTGGCAACTACACAGAGAACTACCTACTCCCTCCCCCTTTCTGAAACAGTCTCACTCACTGTATAGCCCTTGTTGGAATGGACTTCATGGCAATCCTCCTGCCCCAGTCCCTGGAGCACTGAATTTACAGGCATGTGCCACCCCATGTGGCTTTTATTTTTGTTCTTGTTAAGACACCAAGTCTCAGTGCTCTGCTGCCCAGGGTGACCTTGAAATTCCAGGGTCAGGGGCTTGCCCTGCTCTCTTTACAGCACATGGTTAATAGCTTGAAGGCTCCAGGTAGAAGGGGTGGAAGGGGAGTGGGCCTGACCATTAGGCCATACCACACACACAGACACACACACAGTCACACACACACACCACACACACAAACACCACACACACAGAGACACACACACACCATACACACACACACCATGCACACACATACACCATGCACACACACACACCATGCACACACACACACCATGCACACACACACACCATACACACACACACACACACACACACACACACACACACACACACACGAATATGTAATGCTGTTCCACAGTAACCCATAGTTTGGGTGATTATTACATGTTTGTAAAAAATAAACATTTTTGCAGGCAGACTGTGTTATATAGCCCAGGACAGTCTTGAGATCATAGCAATGAATGCCCCTGTTGCACGCTCCAATGTGCTGAAATTACAGGCACAACCCACCACGACCAGCTTTTAAAAATTATTTTTTAGGCTGGGTGTGGTGAGCCACACCTTTTATCTCATCATCCAGGAAGCAGAGGCAGGTGGATCTCTGTGAGTTCAAGGTCAACCATGTGAGTTCCAGGACAGCCAGGGCTATGTAGACAGATCTGTCTTAAAAGTAAAAACAAAAACAAAATTAATTTTTAAATTAATTTTTTTTTGAGATGCAAGGGATTGAAGCCAGTCCTTGTGCATGCCAGGTACATCAGGTACATACCTGAACTAGTCCCCAGCTTGGGTGCGGGGGGGGGGGGGGGTGCATCCTCATGTATGTTAAACTCCCTTGGGAGCTATGTAGCTGAGAGCGACCATACATCTGATTCTGTCTCCACCTCCAAAGTGTGGGATGAGGGCTGCAATGCCTGCCTTTCAATGCTGCGTCTTGATTTTTTTTGTTTATTTGTTTGTTTTTTGAGACAGGGTTTCTCTGTGTAGCCCTGCTGGCTGTCCTGGAACTCACTCTGTAGACCAGGCTGGCCTCGAACTCAGAAATCCACCTGCCTCTGCCTCCCAAGTGCTGGGATTAAAGACGTGCGCCACCACTGCCCGGCTGCTTATTGATTTTTGAGACCAAGTCTCATCCTATAGCTCTGGCCAGTCTTGAATTCACAGCAATCCTCATGTCTCGGTCTTGGAAGTTCTAGGGTACAATGCCCAGACTCTTTGTAGTTTGGTTTTTATTGTGGTTGCTTTTTATTTTTAAACATAGTATTTTGCTATAAGTGTAGCCCCGGGTTGGAAACGACTTCATAGCCGAGGCTGACCTTACTTACATTTTGAGCTATCTTCCAGCGTCAGCCTCCTAAGTATGGTGACGACACACCTGCTTCCACACCTGACCAGACACTAATGACTAACATTATTTGCTAGCTCAGAGCTCTAGTGTCAAGCTACTTCTAGCCCTCTTACTGGGGGACACTTCTGAGCCACGCCCCCAGCCTCCTCACTGGGGGGTTCTAGGCAGAGGCTCCACCCCTGAGCCACGCCCCCAGCCCCTCACTGGGGGATTCTAGGCAGAGGCTCCACCTCTGAGCCACGCCCCCAGCCCCTCACTGGGGATTCTAGGCAGGTCCACTCCGAGCTATGACCCCAGCCCAATCACATTTTCCAAGGAAAGAAGTTGCATGGGATGGTATAGAAGAAGACTTTTATTCTAACCTTTGGGATGTAAAGGCAAGAGGATCAGGTGTCCAAGGTCAGCCTCAGCTCCATAATGATTTTTAAGGCTAGCCTGGACTACACAGAGCCCTGTCTCAACCTAGCTCCAGGAGGAAGGGAATGGTTTTCGAGCAGCCCACTCGGATCTTACCCGTAAGAATGGCCGATGAGCACGTTGCGCTTCTTGGCATAGCGTGTGAAGATGGCCCGCATGTCCTCTGCCAGTGCATAAAAGGTGTAGGCAGCTGCAACCTGTGGTGCAGAGCTGGCTCCGTGGCCGGCCAGGTCAGGTGCCACCACCTCATAGCCGAGCCGCACAAAGAAGTCCAGCTGCTCCTTCCAGATGGCGAGCGAGCCACCCACTCCGTGGATGAAGAACAGCACCACATCAGCCTGCGCGCCCTTGCAGCTGGTGATGCGCTGCTCGCAGTCGATGTGGATGGTCCTCTTCGGACGCCGTGGACGGCGGCGCCGCCCGCTGCCCGAGGTGGCCCGGGTGTCGCCTCCTGCGGGCTCAGCCAACTCTACCTCGAGTGCAGCAGGCGGGTCCCCGGAGCCACTGCGGCCTTGCAGGTCAGCACGAGGCGCTCGGCCCAGGTTCTCCACCACCAGCCTCCCGTTGCGGTACACTGTGATACGGCGCTGGCAGCGCACAAGGCCCGTCTTGACCCCTGGATCATCTTCAGGAGGAGGTGGTGGCGGCGTGGGGACAGGCGCGGGACCTGCATGCTTCACCCGCAGCACCCGGCCTGGCTTGACCTCCACAAACGTGTAGCCGTCACTGGACTCAACGCTCTCCAGCGGCCGCACGGCGTTAGGAGGAGTCCCCAGGAGGCAACAGAAGAAGCCATCTGTCACCCCGGTCAGCATGGTGTGTCCTGGAGAGAGGGACAGTGGCTAGCTCAGAGTCAGTGGCTCTGGTCATGCATCGGGTAAGCAGGACCTGGAGACCTCTTCCAGGTTCCCCAACACCCCAATGCCGGAAAAGTTCTCAGGGCGTCCCTTGGTATAGTACTGAAGAGAGCATGGGGGGCTTCCAGAAGGAGAAAACATTAAAGCTAGAGTCCATTGCGAGGAGATCCTTGCCCCAGCAGCTGGAGTTTATCATTTATTCACAAATCCGTACCTTTATGTATGCATTCACCCACTCATGCATGCAAGCAAGCATGTCTGCATCTCTTCACAATGATTTGTGCAAGCATGGATGCATGCATCTCTCCACACACTGATTTATGCAAGCATGGATGCATGCATCTCTCCACACACTGATTTGTGCAAGCATGGATGCATGCATCTCTCCACACACTGATTTGTGCAAGCATGGATGCATGCATCTCTTCACACACTGATTTGTGCAAGCATGGATGCATGCATCTCTTCACACACTGATTTGTGCAAGCATGGATGCATGCTGGTTTGAATGCTTGGTTCTGAGAAAGAAGCGCATGTAGCCCAGGCTGGCTTGGAAATCCTTGTGCTGTCCTTGCTCTGTCGTCCACTTCTGGAGTCGTAGCAGGTTGAGCATACAGGTGTGTTTCTAAGACTAAGGAGAACCTCAAACTCCCACAGTCCTCCTGCCTCTACCTCCCCCAAATGTTGGGGTGACAGGAGTGCATCAACATGATACTATTGGTTTTTGAAACAAGGTCTCACTCTGTAGTACTGGGCTGTACACTGGTCTCATTGTACTCCTTGCAATTCTCCTGCCTCTGCCTCTGCCAGTACTGGAATGACTCGTGTGAACCCCCATCACTGGCAACCTTTCACATGGGGTTTCATCTGTAGCCCAGGCTGGCCTCAACCTTGTGCCCAAGCTCCTGGGTGGTGAAATGACAAACCATAAAGCCTGGCTGTTATTCTAAAATATCAAAGTTCTCAGCTCAGGCCTCTGCGAATCGGTGTGAATGTGAATCGGACTAATGACCGATGAGGCCGGGGAAAGACGTTGGCCACTGGGACTCAGGTTGTATCCAGCTCCAGGTTCAGAAGAAAGCTGACTCGCACAGCAGCAAGAACCGAGGGAGACTGCTGCCCTTGGCATCCTGGTACCCTGTGTTCTAAGGGATGGCCACACAACCCTAGTGGCAGCCAGGAAGACGAAGGCAGAACCTGACTGGGGGCCTCTGGGCCTCCATCCGGTTCCCTTGGCCACTCCCCCCCCGTGTCCATGACAACCACAGGCGGTTACATAACACCAGGGGGATACCGGCGCAGCGCACCCCCATTGTCTGAGGCATAGGGATGGGACCAGCTTCATTTTTCCATCACGGCCTGGGTGCCGCTGGAGTGATGGTCAGTAAATACCCCGACCGTGGTGGCCCTGGATGCACTTGAGGGAAAAGCAGGCCGTGCACCTCATCACTAGGGCTGTGGAACCCTCCCTGACTGTGGAGGCCTCTCTAAAGCACAGCGTCAGTCCTGTTTCCCAGCCCGACCCGTTTCTCCCTTGAGCCCGTCACCCCCGCGGTGGGGTCAAGGCCACCGGGGTTCCGCAGCATCCTAGCAGTGCGAATGCTGAGCTTGGCGGTTATCCACCCCTCACACCTCCCCACCCCCAGTGGAGGCCTGGCAGCCTGGTGACTCCTCTCTCGGGGAACAGATCCAGCTCACCTGAGGTCATCGAGGGGCCCGGGGCCCAAGGCAGGACGCAGGGGTCCCGGGCGGAGAAGCCAACGTCCACCTGCAGGTGCCGCTTACATGGTGGTGCGGGGTCGGCCGCATTAGCGCGGACAGGCGCGGGCCCAGACAGTCAACGCAGGGGCATCCCGCAGCCGCGCAGCAAACCGGCCCTGTAAGTCCCACCCGGCGTAGGCGGGGCCTGGAGCCGATGGGCAGGCATCTCGCCCTATTGCCGCGGCGAGCCGACTGGCCTAGATAACTGTCCAACCAGAGGCTGCTCTTCCCAGGATCAGCGCGCGCTCTGCAAGCAGCAGCCCCGCCCCTACGAAGAGTTTGGGGGAAATGGGGGAGGGATGGGCTAGCGCCTGGGTCGAGAAGGGCTTGCAGTCGAGGGACAGCGAGTGGTTTGGGGGGTGTGGGGGATGTGCTTTGTTTGGGACGGGGTCTCCTCAGCCAGCTTCCGCTTCCCGCAAGGCGAGAATGCCCTCTCTCTCTCGACCTTCCCGTTCTTCAGACTCCCAAGTCTCTACAAGTTCAGGTCGGGAAAGAGACAAAACGTCAAGGCTGGCATTTGAACCAGAGGCTGTGTCAGAGGTGTCGGAGCTGCGGAGCTAGCGAATGGGAATTGCATCCCAGCAGTGGGGTCTCGGCTACTCCAATACTGAGCCCCAGGTTGACCCTCCCACCCTGGCGCTCATGGGCTCAAGGTGCAGCCCAGACAATTGCCACTAGCCCTTCTACATACAGTAAGTACTCAACACGTCGCCTCAATTATTTGTAGGCACAACCAGCCGTTTTAGAGGGTGGATAAGGACCATGAACTTCAGAGATGCTGATGTGCACGGCTTCCTGTGGCTGCTGGCACGGCTGTCTGGACATCTTCCTTTGAGTAGTGGAGAGCCATGGAAGGTATGTGAACAGGAGTCCAGATCTGAGATGCGGGAAGAAACTTCCTCCAGGCTAGCCTGAGGGATTAAACCAACCAGGGTAAATTCACAACGCACGAGTTTTCCAGATTACGGAGAGCTGGGACTCAAGGACATCCGGGCTGCGCGCCAGAAATCTTGGCTGCGGGCGCCGAGAAGCTGCCAGCCCGCTGCGTGCCAGCTGCCTGTCTTCAATGACGGTGGCTGAAAAGGCCAGCAGCCAGTTCCCTGGATTGCTGCCAGAGTCGTCACCACCACTCTGAGGCGCCCTCTACCAGTGGCCAGGGCGAAGAGCTACAACTTCTAGACGATCAGGGGGACAGAATGGCATACACACTCGCAGGAGTCTAAACTCGATCGCCCTCTCATGGTCATTTTAGAGAACTACGCGCCACTCAGGACAAACTTCCCCAGCTTCTCGTCAAGCGCTGACGTAGAACTACAGCTCCCGGAGTGACCCGCGGCAACAGGTGGAACTACATTTCCCAGAAGGCATTGTCACGGAGCACAGCGTGCAGGAACCGGCATCGACCCAGTGACCTGCCATTGGACATGGCTTTCCTAGCCCGTTGCTTTGGGTGCCAGGCCTGCAGATCGGTGGCTCTGTTGAGTGGCAGGTAAGTGTTCAGGGATACCCTTCTCCCAGACTGGAAACAAGAGTAGTCGCTAGACTACCACGCGCACTTATGTAGCGCCTTTTGTAAACAAGCTGTTTTGTTGCCCTGCCCATTACAAAGGCGGCTCAGAAAGTCATACAGCGTACCTTCTCTGAGATTTCACGGTTTCTCTGGTTCCACAGGTATCTCCAGTCCAGGATGGGGCTCCCGGACGCCTGGTCCCTCCTCTCCCTGCAGCAGGTCCGGGGCCGCGCGCGCGGAAACGAGTATCAGCCGAGCAACATCAAGCGCAAGCACAAGCACGGCTGGGTCCGCCGGCTGAGCACGCCTGCCGGCGTGCAGGTCATCCTCCGCCGCATGCTGAAGGGCCGCAAGTCCCTGAGTCACTGAGGCGCGCGACGCCGCGGAGAATAGACTCAGACGCTCGTAGAGTTGCCCGAGGGCAAGAAGTTGGGGCAAGCTGAAAGTGGGGTATGTCCCTTCGTAAGTTTTTAGACGTGTCCCCCGTCAACGACTGGTCACCGACCACCAGCACCTGCGATATCTCATCCGTTTCTGTGAATATATTTGAAGCCATCTTTGCAAGACAGGTTCATTAAAACACCGACACCACCCTTACGTTTCCAGCCGTTCCAAAGTATTACCGACTTGCTAATAAATATTCACGTTTTTTGGAGCATTATGTATGTATTAATTTACAGTTCTGGAAGACTGGTCGGGGGTCAGGAATCTTGGGGCTTCTACTTGACCCCAGGACTCGGACAGGGTTTTTAGCTCATAGGTTCTGTGCCCCTTACAAACAAGCGCTGCCTTCCATTTTGGCCTGATGTCTGTAGTTAGTAACTGACTGTCCTCTCCTTTTATGGTGTGCATTCCTGGGATTTAATTTAGGTCCTGAGGCATTCAACAAACGCCTTCACCTACTGAGTTGTGTCTGCAGCCCCTGCCTTGTCCTGAAGAGACCCGTTGTCTGATGGGTAATGTGGATTTCGAGCTGGGGTGTTGGGGCACACAGGGGTCAGATCTGAAATAAAATCATAGGAGCTACAGGACCCTGAGGGAGAATACTCTCCTGTCTTGGCTCTGACAAAGCAGTCAAGAAAAGCTTCCTGGAAGAAAGGGCTGGGTCTGCAGGAGGGATTGGATAGGGGTAACTACCAACATAAGTGGGGAAAGCCAGAGGGACCTGAAATTTGGACCCTTGAGGTAGGACTAAAACCTTAGGCCTCTGGAGAACAACAGCAGATGTCAGAGCAGACTTAGAGCAAAATCTGACAGTGCCCACCTGTCAACCCCACAAGAGTGCCATGTCCCAGAGGAGGGTCAGGAGTTCAAGGCCATTGTCATCCACTCTTGAATCACCCAGTGTGGCATTGTTTTAGATTGACTTATTTATCTGTTGTATATGCATATATGCTTAGTTTGGTTTCTACCAAAAGCAGCTGGTAGAAGAAGTGATTTATTCTGTCTCAGCACACAGTCCATCTCTGAAGAAAGTCAGTCAGGACCTGCAGGCAGGAGCTGATGCAGAGGCCATGGAAGGATTCTGCTTAGTAGTCTGCTCCTTATGGCTTGCTTAGCCTGCTTTCTTACAGAACTTAAAACCATCAGCCCAGGGATAGCACTCCCCTCAATGGGCTGAGTCCTCCCCAACAATCACTGATTAATAAAATGTATATCCAGGCAGTTGGGGTACACACCTTTAAATTTGAATTTGAGGCCAGCCTGGACTACACAGAGAAATCTTGTCTAAAAGAAAAGAAAATGCCCTACAGGCTTGCCTACAACCCAATCTTAGGGAAGGATTTTCTTAACTGATGCTCCCTCCTCCGAGGATTCTAGCTTGTATCAAGTTGGCATAAAAAATTACCCAAAAGAAGCTTAGTGAATGAATTGTTTATGGTGCAAACTTGAAGGCCTGAGTTTATATCCCCATACTACAAAAGGCCAGACATGTCAGTGGCCCCAGCACTTGGGAATCAGTGGTAGGTAGATCCTGGGGGCTTGCTAGTCAACCACAATGGTCTAGTTCCAGGTTCAGTGAGAGACCCTATTATAAAATAAAAATGAAGGGTTATACCTCTGATAGAACAGTTAGCTGGCATGGAAAGACTCACGTTCCATTCCTAGCACCCCATAAACCTTGGTGATGCACACATGAAATTCCAGGGTCTCAGGGGCAGGAAGATCAGAACAAGATCATCCTTTGCTCCGTAGAGGGTAAGGCCAGCCTGGGCTTCATCAATTACGTTCTGTTTGAACGTAAACGAGGGCCAGTGAAATGGCTCAGCATGAAAAGGCACTTGCTGGGCAAGCCTGGTGAACAGAGTTGATCCTGGAACCCAGATGAAGTTGGATAGAGTGGATGTTCAGTAGAGTTGTCCTCTGCCCCCCTCCCCGCCATATTCACCACACATATACACACAACAGTAAAATATAATAAATAGATCAGTAAGTAAGGTGGAGAGCCATAAAGGAAGACAGTGCTAAGCCTTGCCTATATGACACACAAGCACAAGTAGCTAGTTCAGAGGCCATGTATGAAAATTAAAGTTTGAAAGCTGAGTGTTGGTGACACACACCTTTAATCCCAGCACTCAGGAGGCAGAGGCAGGCAGATCTGTGAAATTGAGGCCATCCTGGTCTACAGAGTGAGTTCCAGGGCAGCCACAGCTGCACAGTAAGACCCTGGGTGCAAGTGTGTCATTCCAGCACTCAGGAGGCTGATAGCTACATCCTAAGTGAATTCCAGACCTAGCCTAGGCTACACAGATTTGTCTGAAAAACACGAAATTACGAGGCGGGCCAGATGGCACAGCTATAAACAGCTCTAATCACCATGCCTGATGACCAGACCTTGATCCCTGGACCCCACAGGGTGGAAAGGACTCCCAAAAAGTTGTCCTCTTTACATGAAGACTGTTGTGTACACACACATATACAAACTCATAGTTCTTAAAATTTTATATAACTTTTTCTGAGACAAGGTATGCTGTCCTGGAACTCTCCCTCTATAGACTTGGCTGGCCTCAAATTCTGAGGTTCACCCACCTCTGCCTCCTGTGTGTTAGGCTCAAAGGCATACACGCCCCTCCCCCACAGTTTCTCTCATTTTATAGAGTTGTTTATGCATAGTGTTCTACCTACATGTATGCCTGCAGGCTAGAAGAGGGCACCAAACCTTATTATAGATGGTTAGCTGGGAATTGAACTCAGGACCTCTTTTTTGTTTTGTTTTTCGAGACAGTGTTTCTCTGTGTAGTCCTGGCTGTCCTGGAACTCACTCTGTAGACCAGGCTGGTCTCAAACTCAGAAATCCGTCTGTCTCTGCCTCCTAAGTGCTGGGATTAAAGGCGTGAGCCACCACTGCCCGGTTCAGGACCTCTAGAAACAAAAACCAGTGCTCTTAATCTCTGAGCCAATTCTCCAGCCCTTCCTTTTTTTTTTCTTTTTTCTGTTTTTGTTTTTTCGAGACAGGGTTTCTCTGTGTAGCCCTGGAACTCACTCTGTAGACTAGGCTGGCCTCGAAGTCAGAAATCCGCCTGCCTCTGCCTCCCAAGTGCTGGGATTAACGGCGTGCGCCACAACCGCCCGGCCCTACATTTTCTTAATAAGTCCATGGTAGCTCTACCTAAAATAACAAAAGCCTCACTTCGGCCATCCCAGAAATTTGGGAGGCTGAGACAGGAGGATTGCTGCATCTTTAAATTCAGCCTGTACTAAGACCTCAAAAAAATGAACTGTAGGTTGAGACCCAGCGTAGGAGGCGGAGAGTTGGATGTAATACAACGAGCCTTTCTGGGGACCCCTTAGAAAAGGTGGAAGAACAGAAGGAGCAGAGCCCTGCCGCATCGCCGGCGAGCTGTGAACTATAACTCCCAGGAGGCATCGCGTGGGACCTCCGCCCACTTCCGGATCTCAGTTCTTACTTCCCAAGTCCCGGGCGGGGTTTGATCCTTCAACCGAACTCGACGACGAAGGTGGAGATGCAGAGACCAATGGTAACACGAGCGAGCACTGCCCAGCCAATGGGAGCGCGTCGGGCGCGGCCGCCGTGAAGGGCGGGGCCACCACGCGGGCCAATGACGCGCGGTGCTGTCGCCATCGGCGTGAGCTGCGCGGCGGCTGGAAGTGGCTGTGCGGCGGCGATTGGGAAGGAGGCTGCGGCGGCGGCGGCCCGGGTGGCAGAGGACGCGGACGATGGTGAGCGCGGCCGTGCGGCCTCCCTTACTGCCCGGCATGGCAACACGGGGTCCCCCGCTGTCTCCCAAGGCTCCCCGCCCGACCCCCCCTCCTTACTCCCGGCCCCGCCCCTTGCGCTAACCTGTGACCTACGACCCCTCCCCCCGACCCCTCCATGGGCTGCCCGTCGACCCCATTCGGGCTCTTTCAGCGACCCCTGACCCTAGGTATGCTTCCAGGCCCTGACAACTCATTCATTTCCGGGTCGCGACTGTCTCTTGTCTCCCCCTCCCGGAAACCGCTTGGGATGGGGTGGGGTCCCTTGAGACCCCTGCTCCAAGCTGTACCTCTACTTGGCTCCTTGGGTTCCGGGCGTTTGAGGTGCGGGTCTCGGTACATCGTAGGGAGGGGGGTTTTACTGTAACACACAGGGCTTTGTCACTAAAGGAGGTGCGACATCGCGCCAGACCCGTTTCCCAGGTCCCCACCCCTATTTCTCCGCCTCGAGCCCACACTTGTCCTTAAAGACGGAATAGCTTCTTCTCCCTGTTTACAAAGTGAGGTTGCCCACCCCTTAGGATGATATCAACAGGGGCTAACACAGGCACCTGCCCACAGATGAGCTGGGGGACATCCTTCCCTTGCTGTGGCCCCAAATCTTCGAGAGGTGATCCCTGTAACCAGCTAGGAGCTCAAAACCTGTCCTGGGGTCGTGGCTTCCGCTGTTCTTTAGGATTGGGGGGTCCCATTTGTGACCTGAGGTAGTGGCCACTCCTCACAGTTGGGCAGCAATGAGTCCAGACCGCACCCTGGAGAATAGATCGCGAACCACACAGAAGAGTTTCTAGAGAGTCGTGTCTGTGAGGTCCCTGGTTCACATCTGCAACCTCATTCACCACACCAAAACTCTGCCCCTGCCACCATCCAGAGGCCCGTTCCAGCCTCCTGCCCACCCTTTCCCATCCCAGCCCTTTGGTCATCTTTAATGAACATAGAATCCAGTTTTCAAAGACGACATTTTGAGCAGGGCAATGGTGGCGTACTCCTTTATCCCCAGCACATGGGAGGCAGAGGCAGGCGGATTTCTGAGTTCCAGGCCAGCCTGGTCTACAGAGTGAGTTCCAGGACAGCCAGGGCTATACAGAGAAACCCTGTCTTAAAAGAACAAAGCAAAAGAAGATGACATTGTGTGTGTTTTCTAACATATAAAGCATCCTTGGACCCTCTGTGGTGAGTCTGCTCCTGGCCCTTCCAGGGGCAGCGCCCTGCTTTGTGACCTAATCCCCACCTACTTAGCCCTTTCCTAGTGCTCACTTCCTCTGGCTCTTAAGTCCCTTCTGTCCCAGGACCTTTGCACCAACTGCACCTCTGCCTGTGGCGTTTGACTGTTGGAGCACCGTGGCTTCCCTTGACCTCAAAGGCCCGGGAGGGAGTTGCTGCCTGTCTTGAGGCCTTATTAGCTCACAGGAGGAGGTTCTGTCTTCCTTTAGAAGTGCAGACAGGTACACACTCATGCCTTGACCTGAGGGATTTCTGCTGTTTGCCTCAGCTGCCTTGGCTGCCTTTCAGAAGTGTACTTGGAGATGGCTCTCTGAGTGACATGCACAGGCGATACAGCCTAGCTGGGTGGTCAAACCCAGCTCACCTGACCAGCGGCAGGTCTGGATTTGATGTGGGGTTGGGTATACTGTAAGGTCTGCCCAGTCCCAGCCTGAGGCCTTAGGGAGGCATGAGTATGCTGGCTTTGTGGGGTCTACTTTGGGCACAACTCAGGCAAGTGGTAAAGTTGGAGGGTGTGTCCCTGATGGACAGAGTAGTGGCTCACCATGTGACAGACTAGAGAGATCAGAGCAGCCAGCCCTGGTGGGCAGCAGTCAGGATTGCTTAGTTGTTGTTTTGAGACAGGTTCTCCCCATGTTACTGCCCCCTCCCAAGTACTGGGGTGACAGCTATGGGGGACTCTTCTGTATGGCTGGCCCAGACTTGCCTGGACCCCAGACTAGTCTGGCTTCTGCCACACTAGCTCCCTCTGGGCTAGTGTCCCCTGTCACCTTGGTTCTGGCCCCACACCCACAGTCAGGTCTGTAGCAGTGCTCTGGCCTGGGGGTGTAGGGAGGGCACATTGGAACCTGCACCCTGGGGTGGTCAGGAGTGCTCCTGGGACAGTGAGCTGACATCAGAGCAGCAGGTCAAGAGGCTTAGAGCAGAGACACTGAGGCTGCCCAGCTGCATTCCAGGCCGGCAGAGGGAGTAGCCATGGGCGCAGCACCTCTGCATCACCAGAACGTCCCAGGCCTGGGCCTCAGGAATGTCACAAAAGCAGTAATGGAGGCCTGTGCCTGGCTCTACATTGGTGCATGCTGTCGCTCCCTGGCAGGCACAGGACAGCATAGACAGTGACATCTCCCAGGGCAGGGCACACTGGAAGCCATAGACGTGTGCGGTTCATGTGCTGCCCTTCCCTAGACATGAGTGATATTGGTGACTTGGTACACATCCTGGCCACTTCCCCACGTGACTCGGACTGAGCACAGCTTCAGGACCCTTGCTGTCACAGACAGCTCCTTGTGTGTGTGTGAAGTGGGACACCCCGTACCCCGGCCAGGCCTGGGGACTCCAGAACCAGGGCTGGCTGGCCATTCACATGCCTGTTAGTCCACACTGACTTTTTTGAGACAAGGTGTTGGGACCATGGCCAGGCAGCCCTTAAACTGACAGACCCCCAGTCTCTGTTCTCACCCTGACTGAGCTGGGACAGCAGGGGACACCAAGCCCATCTTCTGAAGTATTCTCTCATTATCACCCCCTCCCTGTACACACACACACACACATACACACACACACACACACACAGTATCTATGTGTAACTCTGGCTGTTGGAACTCGCTCTGTAGACCCACTGGCCTCGAACTCTGTCTCCGAGCACTGGGACTGAAGGGGTTTACTGCCGCCGCCTGGCTTCACTATTGTTTTGTTTTTTGAGATAGGATCTTACTCTGTAGCCCAGGCAGGTTTGGGACTTGTAGTAATCCCCCTGTCTTAGTCTCACGGGTGTTGGGATGCCAGGCAAGCACTGCTGTGCCTAGAGGAAGTATAACTTTAAACAGCTTCAGGGCTAGTAAGATAGAAAGCAGTTAAAGTGTTTACAGCTACGCCTGATGACAGACCCATCTGGTGGAAGGGGAAAATGACCTGAACATCTTGTTCTCTACGCATGCACACACACACACACACACACACACACACACACACACACACACACAC